TCATAGGATTCCTTGACTGAAAATGGAAGTAAAAATTTCAGATTTGGTTGAGCTTCCAAAGCTGCTATGCCTATACCTGTTCCCTGACGTTATCAACCATCACTATCATATCTACAGCCCAAATTTTCATGATTATTTATGACTAACGGTGATAACAATATTATATTTTATAGTATATATATAAGAGTATGTTCTTGTTACGTTTCCATCAACTATCAATCACCGAAATATATTTTGCCCATAATAATATAACATTAAACCGCGTGGTAGGTTGTGTATTTGTTGGCCCTACGATGGTTTAGGAACTTAAAAAAATAATTAAAAATATAATTTAGGTGAAATAATGAGGAAAAACGATAGTGATGCACGAATGGATTTGACTTTTGATGTAACTTCCAAAGAGTTGAGATCACCAATCAGTATTTTACCAAATATTTCTAAACAAAATTCAATCGTGCAAAATAATACAAACAAAATCAGTCTAGCAGTTGAATTTTGATGTAGTGCCAACTACAAATATTTGAGTACTAATTTAAAAGCAATCCAATCATTAAAACCATCAAGACTTTTGTTACTTCGTTTCAATCTTCAATCACTTTTTAAAAAATTATTTTTTTAACTCCTATTTATATCAATTTTTGGAACATCTATGTATGGTATTTATTAAATATATCTCGTCATGTGAATTATTTGTTATCACATATAAAACATTCTAACTACTTTATTTTTACTTATAATGAAGTGTGAATGAATATTTACTTTGCATGGAAGATTTAAATTATAGTAATTATCTTGTTTCAAAATCCGAAAACATAAAGCAAAGGCATGCCGGGAATCTCATAAGCAAGATAATGATTCAAATATTGGAAGTTAGTGAATAATAATGGCGGTTTTACATTTTTTACTATAAAATAATATAATTTGCTGAAAAAGAAGAGCAGCATGCATGCAGAGGCATTGTTTAATTAGAGAAAATAATTATTAAACTGTACGTAAAAGAACATAGAGACTTTCACTTTCATTGGTCATCATTAATTTCAGTTCATATTATTGTGACTTTTGATCATTTTGTTTCCATACCTCTTACTATGTCTCTTTCATCCTTTAATTTGTACTATTTTGGATATGCATTAATGCTGGATCTACCATAATCAATTATATTGTAAAACATGTTTTTATCTGTGCATGTTTGGGAGAGCTTGAAATAAGCTCTTGTACGTTTTCTTAAGAGGCAAGATTATCTCTCTCTCTCTCTCTCTCTCTCTCTCACACACACACACATATCTAATATAGTGCAAAGTTAAGTCAAGATCAAATAATATTTTTCTATTTATATTATTACCTTTAGTCCTAAATACAAGAGGTAGATGAGAGATTTTTTTTTAATCATAAATATAAAACCTTAATCAATTTTTTCTCAAAATTATAATTTTGCCCAAAGTATCCTTAGTAAGAAGTTTTTATCAAGGACAGTTACAATATACTACCTCTAGTTCTTAATATAAGATCTCGTTTGACTTTTATTTTGGTCATAAATATAAGATCCCAATCACTTTGTCTCTTATATTTATCTTTTTTTTCCTAATATAATCTTCTAATAATAGTAGTTCTAGCTAATAAACTTGATGAATAGGGATATTTTGGAAAGACAACACTTATGTATTACAAATAACTAGCTTGACTTATTTTCTTGATTTACTCAAATTAGTCAACTAGCTCTTATATTTAGGATCGGAAGTAGTATATAAATAGAAAGTGGATGTTTGGAAAAAAAAATCAACATGCTTTTGTCACAAATTAAATAACTAATTTAATTATTTTTCTTAATATTTCTAAATTTATTATCTAACTCTTATATATATATATTAATAACAGGAGGGAGTAATACTAAATGATACTCCTTCTGGCTCAAAATATAAGCTAAATTTTGTTGGAGGGATTTGACTTTTTTAATAAGATAACATTCACTTTGTCCAAACATTTAATGAGTTTTTTTTCAATTTTATCTCCATATATTCTCTTTCTTCTTTGATTCATTTATTACATCTTTTACCTATTCTTTTTATTAATAAGGGTATATTTGGGGGAAAAAATGCATACCTTACATATTTATTATTTTAAACTGATTTAACTAGTTCTTGATAAATATAAATGGATAAAGTTTACCTTATATTTTGAACTAGAAGGAGTAATTATTCATCAAATTATATTCGCCCCAACTCTAATTAAAACCATAAGAAAACAATAAAAAGCAACAATAAATCAATTATTTTCTATTTATACTAATATACTAAATGATTGTACAATCAATATTGAATGTTTCACCTAATTGCACTGCGTGGAGTCAATATAAATATGGTTGCATTATAAGATTCTGAATACACACACATATATTGTGTCATGTGGTCGGGTGAATAGAAATAACTCACATTCTCATAATTCAACTTATGAATATTTCCTACCCCTTTTGCTCTTGATTTTAATTTAAGGTTGTAGTTTAATCACGGAATCAATTTCGGTGCTCATAATTAGAGATGAGCATCAACCATTCAAATTTAATATTGACGGTTAAGATTTAATATTTAATACTTTTGTTTTTCAAAAACTATTTTCTTTTAATAGGCACACAATCCAAAATAAATATAATCTGTTAACTGTAAGTTTCTTAAAAAATATTTTTATTTAAAAATTATGAATTGAAAATTTTAAATCTAAACTATTAAAATTAATTTTAAATAGTTTAGATTTCACCTCAACGATGATTATTATTGTGCCCATCATTGCCATCAACATTAAAGCTGGTTTTGTTCAATCACTCTAATTTTATTGTGATTTTCATCATTTTCTTTATGAATATATATTTATGAGAACTTCATCTTCTAGAAGCTATATGAAGATCAAATGCTATATCCGGAGTTTATTGTTGTTGTCGACATGGATTAGATATCGATTTTATTGGGTGGACGTCATCTAATCTAAACCACCATTTTACCTACTACAAATAATTCCAAAATTATTTTTATTTTGGTATCATCAGATCATGTGATTCGTGTCTGACTTGATCTGCCTGACCTATTAATTGGATGAGCTAGGTTGCGTAAACTGCAAGTTAACTTATTAAGACACGCACACACATGAATCCTCAAGGTACCTACTCGGTCATAACTAATGGTAATTAACCATACAAATTTTGAGTTATAACCCACATGCCTCATCTCAATATATAATATCTAGGTAATAGCGCTTCTGGTCCTTAATACAAGACATATTTAACTAATTTAATTAGATTAAAAAAGTTAGTTAAGTTAGTTAATTATAAGAAATATGACATGTTTTTCTTAAAACACTGTAATTATCTTTTTTAATATTCTCCTTACCTCTTCTATTTGATTATGGTTGAGGGAGTATCTATAGGGATAATTTAGAAAAAACTGATAAATATGATAAATAAGTCTTATTTAGGATAAAAATCAACTTAATAATTATGTCCTATATTAAGGACTAGAGGAATAATATTTTCACTCTCTCAAATATCTCATTAACTATTGTTTTTTTCCTTCCATCCTACAACATTTATTTTCTAGGAAAAATCTATTTTTCATATGTATTTGAGTATATATTGTCAAGCTTAATTAGAGGTGACTTTCCTATTGACGTTTTTTGACATTTACACATGCTCAAACTTGAGACTTCGTGCTTAAGCAATTAAAACTCCTTCTACTTGTACCTATTTGTTTGCAGAAATCTATTTAATAATTCGATCTTTAATTTGAAACTAAATTTTCCTCCATATTAATTATATTATCTTCCCCACAAAACTCTCTCCCAAGTCGTTAAATGGTGCGGGCTAAGTGGTGAGTACTAATATGTTCAAACTTGTAGAGAGGGGGCAGCTCTATCATATAAAGTTATTCAAAATTACAATTTTAATTTTTTTTAAAAGAAAAGATCGTAGTAATACATAACTTTTCAACTAGGCAAGTGGCTTTTGACCAAAAGAAAAATTAAGCAAGTAGTTTAGTTACCCTTGCACGGGTGAACTGAATCTAATTATCTTTAAACATTGTCTTATGATATATTTTTATTCAAACGATATCTTTTGCTTTGTTATACTACCTCTAATAAGAGCTTGACTAATTTGAATAGATTAAACAATTAGTTAAGTTAATCATTTGTAATAAATATGTATTGTCCTCCTTAAAATATCTTTATTAATCAAGTGTATTAGTTAGAATTACCATTATTACAAGGATTACTTTAGAAAAAAAAAAGCTAAATATGAGAAATAAAATAAATTAAAATCTTATATTTATGACCAAAATAAAAGTCAAACAAGTCCTTATATTAAGGACTAGAGATAGTAATTTAAAAAAATTATATATTTATCATAACAGACTACAATATACTCCTCTGGTCCTATTTATAAGGTAGAAAAGAATATTTTTTGTCTTATTCATAGGGCACTAAGAGAAATTTTTTATATGAAGGTACAATTTTACCACTCGCTTATTATTGTGTTGACTTTATTTACATGAGGTATAATATATATTAAATAGGGATGAAATTGAAAAGTTATTGAATTTTAAATAAGAGTTAATGAAATTTAAAGTTTTTCTTAACTATGCAAAACATACTGAAAGTGACTTATAAATAGAACTAAAAAAATAATATTTTGCATATACTTATCAAATGACTTTAAGCTCCGAGGGTTGATCGGTAGAGGCATTCCCCGCTGGTTGGCCGTCGACGGGCAATGGAGACTATTTGACCACAACCCCATTAAGAGAGATTTTTGTGTTTAATCATGATTAAAACGGCGGAGAATTACACTGAAAGCAATTTTACTCACGCACAAATCCACGTGTATAATTATCTTTTCAGACACCATTCAACAATATTACTTTATATACATGCTTGTCTGTATAAAAGAAAAACATGAGTGCTTCTTTAATTCTTTCACATTTTTTCCAGAAAGAAGAAGATAATAGTGTGATTAACAAGCTAAGGAATTTTAACATAGACCTTTCTTTTCTCCCTGAGACCAAAAGGAGTAACTTCTCTATCACAAACATCAGCACCATGCCAAACATATCTGGGCATAAATCGCCGGAAATAGAAGAAATCGGAGCTCAGGCGAGACGAGGACGCTCCGAGCACGCGGACCTGGGCAAAGCCGGGCCGCCACTCATCGGAGCCGATCATTTTGAGGTAGAGACGGCAGATGGGAGAGTCCAGGCATGGGGCAGTGACCAGAAACTGGTCCACCATGCAAGCCTGAAAGGGCTTTCTGGGCACATCGTCCACAACCTGAGGTTGCAATGGGTCCACTTTTCTGATGTGCTTGGAGTTGAGGTGACGAACCACTATGTCGTTTGAATTGGTGCCTCCGAATCTTAGGCTCACATGGTTCGACGTTTCGGCTCCCACCATGCATGTTGTTTCTATTGTGATTACATATGTGCAGTTTTTCTGTTGTTTTTACATGAAAATATTAGTGTAACTAATTATCAATGTGGGTGTGAGTTTTTTCAACTAGTTACACATAATCTGTAATAAATTAGTACTACTTCTGGTCCTTAATATAAGATTTTTTTACTTTTATTTTGATCGTAAATATAAGATCTCAATCTACTTTATTTCTCATATTTATTCATTTTTTTCAAAATAATCCTTCTCTAATCAATAAACTTGATTAGCAAAGATATTTCAGAAAAGACTACATATTTATTACAAATAACTAACTTAACTTATTTTCTTAATTTACTCAAATTAATCAACTAGTTCTTATATTTAAAACCAAAGGTAGTAAGTAGTATGTTCAATTCATTTGAATTTTCACTTGTATTGACAAATCAGTGCCAACTCCTAATCTTTCTTGAAGATTCAAAAGTGACAGCACCATCAAAATTTTATATTCCTTCTTATTCTTAAATCTAGATAAATAAAAAAAGTTAAATAAATGAGCTAATTATAATAAATATAATATGATGTTCAGAAAATGCCTATTTGTAATATTATGTTACCTATCGGCTTACAATTTTAAGTAAATTAGTTTGAAAAAAAAAATCTTATATTTAGAATCAAATTCATTTTCCCCTTAGTTTTTATATCAAAGAGCAAAGAGGGAGGAACAGATTGTGTTATTTATAAGTCATTAATATTAATAGAGGGTATGATTTACCTTATATTACACGCATAATATGGAGAAATATATATATGTATGTATATGTGTGTAGTCCAAAATTGACGTAAATAAATAAATACCTTGATTTCAGAAGGAAGGATCTGCTCAGCTTGGAGGAGAAGAGGAAGCAGCAAAAGCAGAGGAAGACAGAGGAAGCATGGCCCCGTCTTTGCCATTTTCTCAGATTTCTAAGGCACACAAAGGATCTGATGGAACCATTCGCAGCAGTTGACGATGCTGTCTGTTGAGAGATTTATAGACATTAATTCTCAAGCTTCATCATCATATTCCTGGCTTGACTCCCTCATAAAGTGCAAATTCTGCATCGTACTTTACATTAACAAATGAATTAATTAATTAATGACATGGTTCTCGTGAAATGAGTACAATGAAGTTCCTTTACTTTTACTTATGCTTCCTCGCTTTAACAGGGCTAGCCTTTTCTTTGTTAAGGCAAAGTATCTCTTACTAATCTCGGTTATCTCCTCTCATTTTGTTGGTTAAAGCTAAGATTCCAACCATTTCCTCGTTCTCATCATTTGTTTAGTCCAAATCCCGTGTTTATCATTGTAATGAGATCTGAATGTTTAATCCCAGTTGTAAGCAATCATAAAATTTAATTCTTTTTTTTTTTTCAATTAGTCTTGCAGGCGTTGATATTACTTAGATGATATATCTCATTTTGTTTTAAAATTAAGGAAAAATTATTTGTAAGTCTTGGATAAAACAATTAAATACAGAGATTTACAAAGAAACCCAATTTTTTCTCACAAATTTTACAAGGCTGACTTATAAATGACGCGATACAGATTGGACTTGCAAATATAAATTTTTATCACTTTTCTGTATTTGATTTTCTCATTTAAAACCTTTGTGTAATTTTACCTAAACTTAAATGGTTTGATGAGAATGTCTCCTTTAAAATTTAAATAATTAATATGCACTCAGAAGATAAACTAGACGGTACAGAACTTACCAACAGTGATAATGCTAACAGCTAATGATAAAGCCTGAAAGAAAAAGAATAAGCTAATTTTTATTCCACTTTCTACAATGAAAACACTGTTTAAACCTTTAAATTTCATCCATCCATTGAATACTGTTTTTGGTAGAAATCAGGTAGTATCCTTCAACCGATAGTTAGAGACTAATTTTTTCAAAATGTAGAGATCACTTCAAAACTTAGAAATTTTGGGAATAACTTAAAACAATATGGGTCCATGTGCAAAAAGTTTAGGCCCAAAACCTTTCTTATCCAATGCTATAAACATCTTGGAATGCGCCCAACCTTGTATTTTTGCAACCTCCGGCCCAGAAAGAACACTAGAGCTTATGGGACAATCTTCCTCCCCTTATACGAGAGATTAAGTTTTACGAACAACTTGACCCAGAAGAACCTTCAAAGCAGCATCTTGCGTTGAAATACCTTCCACCTAAAGTCTCCTTTGAAATGTTTTCTATTAAATCAATGAGACTATTCAAAAGAATACATTCAAGCCTATGACCTAACAAAAAATTATTAGTAAATATTGAAGAAGTTATAATTCTAAGGCACATTAATGCCTATTGCAATTAAAAATTTTAAATTAGTCATAAGAGGAATTATAAATTAATCTGTTTAATTTTTCTTAGGATGCTTCTCTAATACTACTACAATGTTTGTTTGAGGCTCCGTACTATTGTTGCAGGCTATCTGTCATGAGTTAATAATAATAATAATAATAATAAAAGGCCTGCGCATGCATCTACCTTTAAATGACTGCTTGACAGAGACAGGCAGCAGAAACCTCTCTTCTATGTCCTTCTCCTTCATTTCAATATTGCTTTGGAACTAAGAACTTCTGTTGAGACAATTACATCTAACCAATGGACTATGCCTTCTCAATCTCCAGTATCATCTGTGAAAACGACATGGAAATTTCATATTACTAGTTTCACTTCAAAGAAATTCTTAGAAGGATTCAGTCTAAGAATCTGGAAGGCCTCATCAATCAATTATTAATCAATATATAAATATCTTAAAGCAGTGTAAACGTGCAAAACTCACTTTTGGCATGTCTATTTACCAAACGTTCTCACATTTGCGGCTTCAGTGAATTGAAACCTTGGTTTGGTTTACAAGTTAGAACTGTCATTTTCCATGTGAAAAAAGTGTACAAACCAAATCAACCAATAACATATGTATTTTGCAAGAACAGGGGCCTTAGACAAGCAAAATATTTTAAGATTTGACTTAACCAGGAAGGAGGTCAAGGGTAATTGATTGTCTTGGACACCACTCTTTAGTTGTTATGACAGCTCATCCATTAAAATACAGCAAATTAAGCTCTTCTAGTTCCAGATTTCACTTTCTGCATGAAACAAGTGGTTTTGCATCACCTAATTGAACAGCAACGTTGTCTCATTCTTCTATATATATTGCCAACCCATGACCTCTTCTCCATCCACGTTTCAGACTGAGAAGTTTACACCAACTCTCCCAAAGCCATCATTAGCTTCTGTATGAAAAGAGAGAAAATGGGTGCAACTCTTCAATCATTTGCATTTCCAGCACTCTTTCTTTTCTCAGCGATTCTCATCCCTCAGTTTGCAGAAGGAGGCATTACTAGGCACTACCATTTTGATGTACTTTTCATCATCTTATAGCTAACTTAAGTTTCATGAATATGCCTTTAGCATTCAATGTTCCCATTCACTGTTTGCTCTTTATCTAATGCCTTTGGCTTTCTGGTGCAGATCAAGTATCAGAATGTAACACGACTCTGCCACACCAAGACCATGGTTACTGTCAATGGTCAGTTTCCAGGACCTCGCATTGTAGCAAGAGAGGGTGATCGTCTTGTTATCAGAGTGGTTAACCATGTACGGGACAACATCACCATCCACTGGTAAGGAACATATTGTTCCAAAAGATGTTCACTGAAAAATTCTAAGGAATGCTTGGTCTAACAAAAACATAAAAATGAAGTAGCTCATCTTAAAACAACAAACAAGCACAATTCTTCAGAGAGACTCACATCTGACACACACAGTTTTATGATTAGTGCAGATCACTTATATTTTATAGATCAAGTCTACTTAACTTCTCTTGGCTTTCTTTTTGATAGGCATGGGATTCAACAGCTTCGATCAGGATGGGCTGATGGACCTGCATATGTGGCACAGTGCCCCATCAAAACTGGTCAAAGCTATGTCTACAATTACACCATTGTTGGCCAAAGAGGCACTCTCTTTTATCATGCCCATATATCATGGTTAAGATCAAGCGTCTATGGTCCTATCATTATTCTTCCCAAGCTTGGTGTTCCATATCCTTTCGCCAAACCCCACAAGGAAGTTCCCATTGTCTTTGGTAATGAGATATTGGATTACACTAATGTGATTTCTCTGTTTATATTCACGTTCTAACCTAATTATATGAAAATTTTGTAGGAGAATGGTGGAATGCAGATCCTGAAGCAGTCATAGCCCAAGCCTTACAAACAGGTGGAGGACCAAATGTTTCGGATGCTTACACTATCAATGGACTTCCAGGGCCACTCTACAACTGCTCTGCTAAAGGTATCAAGTAACTAGTAAATATATTTCTGTAGGATACTTAACATTACTAGTGGCTGAATGCCAATGATTATTAACCCTCACCGGGGTTTCAATGGCTACTCATTATTGCTTTGAGCTACATTAAGACTCATACTCACATAAAGGATAGGATGCATATGAATTGAAACCCCCGCGTGTTTTGATCGTATATAAAGTATAAACGATTGGTTGTGGCAGATACATTCAAGATGAGGGTGAAGCCTGGAAGAACATACCTTCTTCGTGTGGTAAATGCAGCACTCAATGATGAGCTCTTCTTCAGCATTGCGAATCACACCCTCACAGTTGTTGAAGCAGATGCAGTATATGTTAAGCCTTTTGAGACTAAAACTATTCTCATCACCCCCGGACAAACCACAAATGTTCTTCTTAAAACTAAATCTCGCTACCCCAAAGCCACATTCCTTATGACTGCAAGACCATATGTGACAGGCCTTGGCACTTTTGATAACTCAACTGTTGCCAGTATCCTGGAATATGAATCCCCATCAAAATCTCTTCACTTGAAGAAGCTTCCACTCTTCAAACCAATCCTCCCTGCCCTTAATGACACTTCCTTCGCAACTAATTTCGCCAACAAACTCCGAAGCCTTGCAGATGCTCAGTTTCCTGCCAACGTTCCACAGAAAGTGGATAGACAATTTTTCTTCACTGTAGGCCTCGGTACAAGTCCCTGTCAGAGCAATCAAACATGTCAGGGACCCAATGGAACAATGTTTGCAGCTTCAATAAATAATGTATCTTTCACACTCCCAACCACTGCCCTTCTTCAAGCCCATTACTTTGGGCAATCCAATGGAATTTACTCCCCTAACTTTCCTAGCAGCCCCTTGCATCCATTCAACTATACAGGCACCCCACCAAACAACATCATGGTGAGCAATGGGACAAAGTTGGTTGTTCTTCCCTTCAACACTAGCGTGGAGCTTATCATGCAGGACACCAGTATACTCGGCACTGAAAGTCATCCTCTTCATTTGCATGGCTTTAACTTCTTTGTTGTTGGCCGAGGTTTTGGAAATTTCGATCCAAATAAGGGCCCTGCAAATTTCAATCTTGTTGATCCCGTTGAAAGGAATACAGTGGATGTTCCCTCTGGTGGATGGGTTGCCATTCGTTTCCTAGCAGATAACCCAGGTTAGTAAGGGCTTTGCTTATTATTACTTTACTTTCTTTACAAGGAAGGCTTATGGGTAATATTTAACCACTATTTACAAGGCCTCCTCCTCCCTATCAGATCCTCCCAGAAAATGACAGTGAATAACTTGACAGATTAACAACACATCATTTGGGGTCCTAGAAATTTTCATCCACCTGTTTTTTAAATTATTACCGGCGAACATAAACCCCGTTCAGTGCCAATTTGACTAGCCAAATTTTTAATAATAACCACGTTAAATTCAACTTTAAGCTCAATTAACGCAAGTGATTAAAGACTAGCTTTTTATGTTTGGGCAAGTAGTAGTTAAAAGGAAGTAGCAGCTAAACAAACGTTTGTGACCATAATAGCGAGATTCTAATTCTCATTACCATTCCCCACCTTTTCGGCTTAAATCCGTTTTGGCAAATTAACAAACACCCAGCACGTATATGTTGTTTTAACTAAAAGAAATATATGTATGAAAAGCGCGAGATATTAATGAAAAGCTCATGGAGTCTCATCGTTGATTTGGTGCTAAAAAATTGTGCAGGGGTATGGTTCATGCACTGTCACCTGGAAATTCACACAACCTGGGGTCTGAAAATGGCGTGGGTCGTTTTGGATGGGGAGCTTCCCGACCAAAAACTTCTTCCACCACCATCGGATCTTCCCGTCTGTTAACTTCGGCCTCAAATTACTCTTTTCAACTTTTCTTGATCGGATTTGGCGGCCCTTTATGGCATTCTTTATTGAGCAAATAACTGTTACGAGTTACTCCTCTCACACCGGAAATTCGGTGGAGAGAAATTGGTGCTCTTTCTTCTTTTTTTTATTTCAAGAAAAAATATGTTTCTGTTTCAAGAAAATATTGGTACTTTATTGTAAGACACCCTTACATTCTACAGCAACAAGTGTTACTCCTAACTTTGAGATATTCCTGCGTTTAAATGAGAATTCCTATCCAAAAAAAAAAGAGCATTCTTTTGTCAATTGACTTTCTGCTTCCACGCATTTTGACGTTCGCAAGTAGTTTAATCCGAAGTCTTGTTCAAGCAAGGGCAGACTGCCACCAACCTGAGATCAAAAAATCTATTACCCTCTCCCTAAAAAAGCAAAAATTACGGCTCCCATTCCGAAAGATATTGATTCGTAACACTTCAGTACTGGGAAATATAAGCAAATTACAAGGAACACCGGAAAATGGCATATTCTAACAGATGCCAAGTCATAATAATTGTAAGCCTAAATTCACTTGTAAATGATCCTCCACGGTCCGCTGCATGTGTGGGCGTGTTCATAATTTGTTTGATAAATTAAGCAGGTATGCTGCGGCTCCAGTCCACAAGACCAACAAAAATTCATGTGATGTTAATAATGGTTTTGGAAGTAATGCCACAATCAAATTAATCTAACAAATTACTTCTTAAACAACATCGACGTGAAATGCTAACACACCTGCAGCTACTCATCTCCCCCATGCTTTTTCTTAATCTTTTTCTTAGTTGGTTCCCCTGATTTATCATCATCTCTTCCTACAACATCTTCGTTCTTCCTTTTTTTCTGCACCTTCTTTACCTCATCAGTATTTATTTTATCCTCGCCGCCTGCCATATGTCTCTTTTTCTTTTTATTTAGGAAGTCCTTTTGATCAACAGAGTCTTCATCTCTGTTCTGAACACCACCATTGCTTAGTATCTCTTTTCGGTCATCTTCCCAACTTGCAATCTCATCTTCTGGTTTGATAACCTCACCCTCTCTGTCAGAGAAATTATTCATAACATCCTTCTCTTTCTTTTTCTTCTTCTCCTTTTTATGTTTCTTTCCCTCCTCCAATCCCCCGTTGTTATCACCTAAATTTCCCTTATTCGACCCCTCTTCAAGTTTAACTTCATCAACCACATGCTTACTGGGCTCATCTTCAAGTTTCTTTTTCTTCTTATGCTTCTCTCTCTCAACGGGTTCTTGACTAAAATCAAGACCACCATGAGTTGGTTTCTCTTCATTTTCATCTCCAGCCTCAGCTAATGGCCTGTGATCAGCTTCCCCCACTCCGAATTTCCCTTTGTCATCACGAGTCTTTGATCTACTCCTTTTGTGCTTCCGATCAGAATGTGGTGATTTGAGCTCCTTGTGGAGCTGGTTCAGCTCACTGAATGAACTAGAGGCCCGACGGAGATATGCACTGACAACATGTGAAGCACCATTCTCAGCAGAGATAAACTTTGAGAGGATTTTTGCAGCTTTCGAAAGAGAAATTGGTTTTGCTGATATAGGCTTTCCAGAGATTGTCTTCATTTGTACGCCCTTCGGCCTTCACACATCTATACCTAGAACAATGGACATTTAAACATCTTTAGTTCCATATCTTTATTCTTACAACTAGCAAACCAAAAAAAAAAAAAAAAAAAGGTTAAGATGAGGAGACGGTCAATCTAATTTTATAACTAACAAGCAGACACAATATGCTGCAAAGATATTAGGACCCATAAGAATGAATCAGAAGGAACTCTTATCCATCACGTTATCTTGACAAATACAAAGAAACAGTACTTAGCTCACACACCCCGTTACCAATAGATTAGAAGATAGTTAAACCAAGACAAGACTAAGGGCGTAAGCCCTAACACTTATTAAAGACTACAAATGCCACTTCCTTTCCGCTCCCACAGCAGAGACTACTTTAAAATATAATCAAGAGAGTTGATGAAGAGCCCTAGGCAGACGTCGAGTGAGGTTTGGAGAGAAATTAACAATAAAGTGTGTAAGTGTGCGTGTGTGCACACACAAGCAGTAGACAATAGTCAATCAGACCATCAGAAGAGCACCAACCAGCAAGACTGAACAGAGCAGTAGCACGATGGACGAGGGTCTACGAGAGTGAGGAAAGCATGAAGGAGGAAAGCTTACGAATATGCCGAGGAGATGCAGAACGAGGGCGAGGCTGCGGGAGAAGGAGGAAGCAGCATGCAAAGTAAACCGGAGCAACAGAGCGAGACCGAGGAGTTGAGGAGAGAGAGTTCGCCGTCAACGGCGGCGCCTGAGGGGGGAGGAAGGGAGGTCACCGAGCTTCAGATACGCCGAGTCGCAGTGAGACTGAGAAAGAAGCCCGCGTAGCTAGGGTATGGTTTTCCAAAAGGGGAAACGAGAAGAGAAGCGTGAAATCAAACTTCCGTCTTTGCTATTGTTCAATTCTCAATTTTTTGTATTAAAAATTAAAAGATTCGTTGCAAAACAAGAATTCCTGCACCTAAGTGAAACTAAGCCCTAATCAAAAGAACATGAAGCCCAATGGGCCTGTAATGTGCATAAATAACAAACTGGTAACAAGGCTGTCAAATCAAGACTTATTTACCAGGAAACAAAAAACATCAAGACTTAAGAAGTTAATCAAAAGAAGAAAGGGAAGGCCATTTTACAGGCAGATATAGTTTTTTTAAATTTTTAATTGGTACCTCTACTTTTAGAAAAAAATTGATAAAAAATTCTTATTTGAAAATTTAATTGGCTAAAAAGACTTGAATTTGAGCAAGTGTAACATATATTCCGCTGTGTGCAACATATCATTAATGTTGTGCAGCAATCATCGATACGAAAGTCATTTACACATAACTGAAGATATATTATACTTACAGATTATACTTGCACGCACTCAAATTCATATCATTTTAACCAATTAAATTTTTAAACAGAATTTTTTTACCAATTTTTTTCCTACTTTTTTTTTTTTAATTCTTCAACTTTTGTCCATCCAGGGAGTTGCCCATATAGTTCAAGCAATCCTCTCGAGGGCCAACGGAATGTTAAACGACGTTAAAATAGAAAAGGGAAGGGAAAAGAAGATGTGGAGACGCAAATGCACAGCCGGTCCTGCAACAATCTTCTCCCGTGTTCTATACTTATCACATCTTTAACGATTAACTAGAGTAATAATCAAAAACTCATGGACGCAAAAACACAAAATACGAGATTGTGTCAAATTGTCAATATACTCTTTCAGTTCTAAATATAATACTACTTCCGCTCCTTAATAAAAGATTCTGTTTGACTTTTATTTTGATTCTAAATATAAGACCCCAATCCATTTTGTCTCTCATGTTTATACTTTTTTTTCTAAAGTAATCATTCTAACAATGATAGTCCTAGTCAATACACTTAATTAGTAAGGATATTTTAGGATAGACAACACCTATTTAGGACAAATAACTAACTCAACTTACTTTCTTAATCTCTTCAAATTAGTCAACTGGCCCTTATAATTAGGATCGGAGGTAGTATCTATTTTGTAGTCTAACTTACACTGCAAAATAAGTCTTATATTTAGAATCGGAGGAGTACTATCAAAAGAAAAAATGACAATAAATATAAAGAAACCTTCTGCACGGCATTTCACACTTCCATTGCTGCTCTCAGACTCCATTGAAGGCCAGAATATAAAATTAAACTAATATTGCAGAAAATCATTAGTAAACAAAAGAGATGAACAAAGATACATAGACTCTGGAATTGAAGTCCAAATCGCACCCACCTTAGCTCACCTTTTCGAATCAAATGCACTTTTTGATGAGGAATGAGTAAATCGTAGAACATTTGTGACTATCAGAGAGGTAAATCGCATGGTAGAAATTCACTCCCTCAAAACAAATAAAAAGATGCGTCCTCCCTCAAACTTTCAATCACAAAAATCCACGGATTTCGTAGGAGCAAATCGCCTTGATGGAGAAAAGTTAAAGGATTTAAGAGGGAGAAAAGTAGAGGTATCAAATTAAAAATTAAGAAAAATTATAAATACCTGCAAATTGGCTTTTGCAAAAAGAAATCAAGATTTAAGAACTAATAGAATTAGGCCTAGGAAAAAGAACTAATTCCTCATAATATCAAATCAAAGTTTCAATTTTTATTCGGAGATGTGTTCATTTTTAATATCTGATAGTGTTTCGAATATAATTACCTCTAATCAAAAAATACTACATAACAAGAAAAAAAAATCAAGACTTCAGAGCAAGCAGATAATTTATATGTATAAAATTAATAGGTGTAAAAACATCTTATATTCATAATGGAAAGAAAATGGTCACCTAAAAAATAACAAAACAAATAAATAATTTTTTCTATTCTTATTTATAAGTTATTTCTAATATATTATATTAAAAATAAAAAAAATTAAACCTCATTAACTCTACATTAAAATCTAACATTTTTTAATTTTACCTTATTTAATATATATGCATTTCAAAAATAATAATAATCTATACAATTATAAACAAAAAATAAAATAATATATTCATATTAAAATTTAGTGACGTGGTTTTAAATAAGATAAAAAAATTATTCTCTAAATGTGTTAAAATAGAACTAGAGAATGAATAGCAAGTAAGGGGAAGAAGTTCACATTAGGGCTGGGAAAGGGATTGATTTGTTCTTTTTTATAAGCTTAGTTTGTTAGTTTGTTCAAAATGAAAAAAAAAAATTGAAACATAAAATTTCAAAATGTGCAGCTAAAATTTTCAAATAGCAGTGAAGAGGGAAAGTCTAAACTGAAATTATGAAAATATGAGAAAATGATTAATATATCCTTCTGTGATGCTTAGAAAAGGATGCTGTTATTCTGTATTTCAAACTTATTAATTTATGTTTCAATCTCACTCTTTTCATATCAAATTTACTCATTTTGTCAAATAGACAGATGCTTTGGTCTGAGAAAAAAATATTATTCTGTATTCCAAACTGACGCGAAGACATATTGTAATAAGAAGAATGTTGTAATCTTGTCATTTTTAAATTAAATTTAGTTATTGTTCCAAACTGATACAAAGATGCACTCCCTCCGTCCCATATTATAAATAATATTAGAGTCATCACGTAGATTAAAATATTAGTTAAAAACAATAAATATGTAAAAATTAGAAATTTTTTCACTAAAATGCCTTTATTTATAGGGGGAGAAGTATAAAAAAGAGAATAAGAAAATTATGGAAGAGAGAGAATGTATGATGAGAGATGATAGTTTAAAAAAATGAGATAATAAATATATTGAGTATTAAAATTAGTAATTAATGAGGACAAAATAGAGAATTGGTTACAAAAATTTAAAACAATTTGTAAATATTGCTTATATTTAAATACATGAGGGAGATGGTAATTGTTGCTTATAATATAGGACTGAAGAAGTATTGATCATTTCCTTACATTTTCATAATTTTAGTTGCTTGTATTTTTAAAATGTTAGCCACATTTTTCTTGGAATTTTCTATTTTTAAGATTTTTTTTGTTATTTTCTCTTAAAAATTAAAAATTTGTGGGGTTTTGCGATTCACCAATTTTAAGAACAACACGTGTGATTACAACTCATGGTCTCATGCTATGTCTTCCAATTACCAACATAAGTAATGATTAAAGATTTAAAGTTAAATTTTTTGGCACACAAAACTTTAAAGCTAATTAAATACTCATTCCCATCTATCATTTTCACAGCCACAACACCTCCAAGGCTCCAACCACCTCCTTTTTTTTTGTTTTTCAAAAATTATTTGTGACGATAAATAAAAACGAATTGTAAGAAGACCTTTGTGTAATACTAAGTGTGTTTTTTTATAAATTCTCTCTAAAAAATTTTTTTCTTTTAAAAGTCTCACCTATAATATTTTTTTCTTGTCATCAGGGATTCTGAGTATGTTTTGCATTTGTCTCTCTAAGAAAATATTCTGTATCAAAAATAGAATTTGACCATGATCTAGTAAGGTGTGTTTAGTGACGACTTTTCGAATTTTTTTTAGATTTAGTATTCAAAAACAAAAATCCTAACATAACATGTTGATGAGTTGAGAATAAGTAGTCTTATTTGGTCTAGAGTTTTAAATATCAAACTTTGTTAGCTTATGATCAGGTGATTAAAAAAAAAAAACTCCATTTCAGTCTTACTTGTAAAACTCAAATAATCCGTTTAGGTATGATTTTGATTACGCTTCACCCGATTAGAGATTCAATTCGCCCCATTTACCCTATATTCAAAATAAAGTAGGATTTTAAAATTTTGTCCCATAACTAGGATAGTGGGGAATATAATACACGTACATATACACACAAATGATATTATTATGAAAAAAAAAAATAACTTAACCGAATCAATACTTTCGACCTGCTTTTCTAGTGACAAAATGTCAATTGATCAGCCGATGATCATCTCATATTTAAGATGCAAAGAAAAGATGATCTAAAAAATAAAAAAGCAAATAAATAAATATGCTGGTAAAAAAAAATAAATAATGCTTTTCTATGTCTGTATATAAGTTATTTTTAACATATTTTGTTGAAACTAAAACAACCTTAAACCTAATTAGCTCTACCATAAAATCTAAGTATTTTAAACTTCGTCCTATTTAATATTCCCACTGGTTTATATTACAAGAAGTCTTTTAAAAAAAATTTCCTCTCATTTATAAGATGTTTTGATAGTTTCAATTAATATTAAATGTTTTTTTTAACATATGCCCATATTTAATAAGAGTGGCAAGAGAGATGTTAGAATTTAATGTGATTATTAAAAATAATATTGAAAATCACTTAATATTTATAACAAATTTAATACTTTTAATTATTTTTATTAGTACACATGAATTAGTTAGAAATGTTTGAGAGAACATACACATATTTTAAAAATAAATAATAAGTCTATATAATAATAAATTAAAGGTAAAATAGTATATTTATATAAAAAATTTAATAATGTAACTTAGAAATAGGATAAAAAATTTTTATCTCTCTACTTTATAAATATAAATAAGACTAAAAAAGTTTTTTTTCTCCAACGACTAAATAAGGTGGGGTGGAGATAGATGTCATTAACTTCACATTAGGACTGGAGGAATGAATTGATTTGATCTTTTTGATAAACTAAGCTCGTTACCTTTTTTTGGTTTTTTGGCCAAAGCTTGTAAGCTTGTTAAAAACCCTAGTACCTTACGGTGTTGTAGATTCACCAATTTTAAGAACAACACGTATGATTACAACTCATGCCACGTCTACCAATTTAATAACATAAGTAATGATTAAGGACTTAAAGTTAAATAAATATTTATTCTGGTTTTCCTTTTGAAAAAATCCTATCAAAAAATATCTCCAAAATTTCAAAATCTCAAATTAAAAATAATTATAAAAATGTATTATTGTTTACTTTTTAAATGTTGTTAATTACTATTAAAATGTAGTGAATCAGACTAATTTAAAATTTAAAATTTTAACTTTTTTTTTGGATTCTCCCTTCTTTTTCATTCCAACCAAAAATATTTTTGTAAAAACCCCTGCAACCACTTTACCAGCATCTCAGTCAATAGAAGGCGATTAGGTCATAAAATTTATTTAAGAATAAAAAATTATAATTTTATCTTGCTCAAAATTACGAATTATATGTTTTAACAAGGAAAAAAAACGCGTTACTAAACTTTAAATATGGAAAATCTTTTAAAAATATTATTCATCTCTCATTTAGTCGATATAATAAAGACCACTCATGGTGGTAAAAAAAAAAAAGGGACCACTCATTCCTTTTAAAAAGTCATCGTATAATATGGACTAGATGCATCAGTTATTTTCTAGAATGGTCCTATAACACTGGTTAGTTTACGTAACAAGGTGGAACATCAGTTAACTTTTTCCCCCCAAAAATCATCCTGCTAAGGCTTTTTTAATGGAAAACATCTTCCTTTTAAGTAGAGATAAACTTTAAAAAATCATGTTATTCTTACATTATTTTAATACTTCAGTTGTATATTATTGATTTTGATAAAATAGTTAGAAGTGTTTTATACTTAAGAAACAAAATAAAATACCTCCATTCTTTTTATTCTTCAGATATCTTTTAAAAGGTGTCGATTTTGGTGTTCCCATAAGATAGTTTGTAAAATGAAGGATGTAATTAAATTGTTTTTCTCAAAAATGCTTTTTAAAAGGAACCTGTACCCTTTATTTTATATGAAGTTCATACTATTTGAAACCACATAAAAGGATACATTTTTTCTTCGCATGAAAGATACGTATAGTTGGGCCTCCTGTCAAAGCTGCCGATAGCTCCCTGTCCTGCTAGAGCATGAAAATACTACTGTATAATCTTTGATTGGCTTTGAAATAGGGAAAATGACATTTAAAAAAATTAAAAATTATAATATTTCAATTCAAACATCTAAAACTTCAAATCTATGCCTGATCAGATATTTTATAAATAGAGTTAAATAACAACAATACCCTCATATCAAGACAAATGTTAAACACGAAATGTATTGATAATGACAAGTTGTTTATTAATAAGTTGTGAATTAACAATGACAATTATTAAATAGTTAATAATAAAAAAATACACTGGCAATAACAAATTTGATAGATTTTTTTAAAAAAAATATTATACAAGGACATTTTAGTCATTTGACTATATTTACAAAATACTAAATCAAACACTACTTCCTTCTCTGGAATTTTGAACTCTTAAGTATTTGAATTGGAATATTGCAATTTTTAACTTCTTTTTATGTCATTTTTCCTTTGAAATATCTAATTCTATTTTTTTTCTCTTTTCTTATTTTTGTGGATAAAAGAAAAATATGAGTAGACTTTATGGGGAGACTCCTTTTTATCTTATGATTTTTTTTTTTTTGTGGATAAAAGATCAAACTTTATAAAAGGGTCAAACGATTACACGCACAACCCAATTGATGCATCAGAGCATAAATGAGAAAGGCTTAAAAACATAACAGAGAACACAGAAGAAGAACAAGAAAATAAAAAGAACACAGAAATCAAACAAGGAGGGTATGGGTAAATCAAAAGAGGCGACGTGGACCACGTCCCCATAGATGCTGTGGAACGTGCAAAAGATAGCTCGGAAGAAGAAGCTGGTGAAGATTTATCTTCATCTCGAACCAGCAAACATGGACAAGTGGATGGAAGCAGACTGTCAAATAACAGGAGCAATGGACTAAGGTTGGCTACAAAGTCCAAGTTAGGCTTCTTAGATAAGATGCAGATGAGAACGGAGCAAACAATCTTCCAAGTAGAAATAAATGAAACCAATCAATAAGTACAAAGAAAATAAATAAAACAAGGAAATCTATGATTGATAAAACAAAGAAAATAAATTAAATAAGTACAAAAATCTACACCCTATTTAATTATAAAGTATGTGCTCATCATCTAACAGTGCATCATGAAAGAACTCAGTAATTTCAAATTGTGGTTTTTGGCACCTTATGCTTCGTTTAAGCTGAATTGGTCCTTGTGCTTTTAAACAGATTTGGTTGTGGTTTTTGGACCCTTGGAGGGGCTAAATCGGGAAAAAAATTAACTGCCACATTTTACCCTATATTCATAATGACGTAGGATTTTAAAATTTTGTCCTATAACTAGGATAGTGGGGAATATAATATTATTTAAAATTTAGTCATATATGTGCAGGATATACACGCAAATGATATTATTATAAAAAAATGACTCAACTGAATCAATACTTTCCACATGCTTTTCTAGTATCAAAATGTCAAATGATCGGCGGATGATCATGTTCTGTGGCTAATTAAATATTCACTTGTGCGCTGGATCAAGTCCAAAAACTGAACCTAATTGTAGACGATCTGGCATGTTATTATTACTCCTTCCGATCTTTAATATAAGACTCATTTAACTAATTTGATTAGATTAAGAAAGTTAGGTAAGTTAGTTAATTATAAGAAATGTGACACGTTTTTCCTAAAATACCATAATTATCTTTTTTAATACCCCATCTTCCTCTTCTACTTAATTATGGTTGAGGGAGTATCTATAAAAGTATTTTAGAGAAAATTGATAAATATGAAAAATATGTCTTATATTTAGGACCAAAACTAACTTAATAATCGGGTCCTAGATTAAGGACGAGGAGTATTATTTTTTATATTGACCGATTGCAACCACCCAGCGGTATTCGTACCAACTGATATTATTCAAGTGTTAGTCCAAGTTCATTACATATATATATATATATATATATATATAAAGAGACTTGAATCAAAGTCCAATTATAATTAATTAATTAATTGCCCTATAAATTTTACACCCAGACGTTGTAATTATTATTATGAGGTTCAATGGTGCTTATAAAGAAGCGAACCTGTCAATGTCACATATGTATAAAGAGAGAGAAGTAGTTAGGGCTTTTCCCAAAGGTAAAATGAAATATCTAACCAAACAAATAGAATGAGAAAAAGTGATTTTATACCTGAAGGATATTCTTTGCGTTGCTAAAAATAAGAATTCATATCATATAAATATTAATATATTGAATATTATTTTTGCAAAAAATTTCATATCCGTGCCCCAAAGGGCCTATATATGTAAATATACACGCGCACATATTGTAATGTGGTAATTCTTTTGTGATAGATATTTTAACATAATTCACTATCCTGCCTTGATGCCTTCTGCTATATAAGTAGAAGAAAGGGTGACATTGTCTTCTACCACCCCCTCCTCCTCAACCAGTTCAGGCGGAGGTAACCCAGCCCCCATAAACGCTAGCCATGGCCTCGCCTTCGTCGGCACCGCCACTTTCCGGCACCTCTGCTTCTTTTCCGACGACACCACAACAACCAACGCTTCCATCTCTGGACGAATCCAGCGCTGTTGTCGCCGCCGAACGAAGAGAAGGCGCAGAGAAGCCAGCAGGTTAGTGAAGTTTAGTCTCTATTCCCCACACACACACACACAGTGATGATTACATATATGAACTTCTTCATCATTTGATTAGCTTGGAGCATTTTCATGGCTTTATTGATGAGTTTCATTCTTCTCGTAGATATAATTAATTCGTTAGTACGATGATGTCTGATTCTCAGTCATCCTTCTTCTCGCTAGCTACATACGATGTTAATTATATGAAAGATCGAGACATGTTCTAGATAATATACACCAGATCTGTCAAGAATAACTGTGTCTCTGCGCGCGCGTGCTAATGGTTTTCCAGTGATGGCCCCCACCATCACATGTGAGTGTACTGCTTCGTTAATTTATAATTTGTGTTAATTAAGCTATACTAGTACTATCCCGTTCTTAATATAAGATTCTGTTTAATTTTTATTTTGATCCTAAATATAAGACTCAAATTCACTTTGTCTCTGCTATTTATACATTTTTTTCAAAGTAGCTCTTCTAACAATGATAGTTCTAGTCAATACACTTGATTAACAAGGATATTTTAGAAAAGACAACACATATTTAGGACAAATAACTAATTTAACTTACTTTTTTAATCTCTTCAAATTAGTCAACTGGTTTTTATAATTAGGACCAGAGATAGTAGTACTTACAAATAACGACTCATATTTATCTGAACAAACAATTTGCAATTATGTAGGATAATTAGGGAAATGGGTACTATCATGATGAGGAAAATGTTGCCATTTGTTTTTCTGTTAAGTTCAGCCTTTGAAAAATTGTCGCCATAAGTTATGTAAACCGTTCCTATTTTTATTGATCGAAGGTAAAAAAATAGTTATATGCACAGCTGACATTATGGTCAGTATAGTACAAGTGTGAATGAGAGAACTTTTATATTAAAAGAAATTAGATTGTGAGAAAAGTATATAAGTAAATTGATCCATTAATTTAATATTTTATGATATATTTGTTATGTAATGCTGCCTCCACTCCTTAATATATATATATATATATATATAAGAGCTAGTTGACTAATAAAAAAACTTGTTAAGTTAGTTATTTATGATAAATAGGTGTTGTCTTTCCTAAAATATCCTTGCTAATCAAGTATATTGACTAGAATTATCATTATTATAATGACTATGTTTAAAAAAATGGATAAATATGAGAGACAAAATGGATTGAGGTATTATATTTAAAACCAAAATAAAAATCAAACAAGCTCTTATATTAAAGAGCAGAGGTAGTATATAATTAATAACAAACTAGCTCTTATATCTAGGAGAGAAGATAATATTAAATATTCAAAAGTTAAGGGGAAAAAAAACTCGCGATGCATAGATGATTAACCCCACTAAACATGATGAAGAAATGACATACTGAATATCACCTTTTTTTTAATTATTCTTTTTCTCTGAGTTTCTCCTTAATTCTCCGATGGGTAAACCAAGTAATAAAAAACTAATTGTTTTGTATAATCATGGTGTGCATGTCTTACCGCCAAATTCATAAGAATTTTGACTTTTAAAAAAAAAAATTTTGCTAAACAGACTGTCTTCGAATTTATTTGGATCTATATTTGTCACAAATACTAGAGAAATGTGCAGTGGTTGAGTTTTATATACAAAAAGGGAAGACCTAAATATGAGATTTTTAATTTGATCTGCAGATAACTTACAGAGATGATTAATTAGTATACAAAAAAATAGACTAATTCCATTTAGTTTTCCGTTGCATAAATTATTTACAGATCTACACGTGTCTGTTATATATATATTTGTGTATAAATGATATAGACAGAATTATAAATTAAATGGGAGAGTGACAGTTTAAAACTCAGACGTGCCAAGTAGCAAATAAAAAATAAACACATCAAACCACATTTGTCTTCTTATTTTATTTTTTGGTCTTAAGAAGACAGCTATGCACGAAGATAATTGTTGTTTTTTTTTCCTTGGATAGATCATATCATTGTCGGTTCCATGATTTTAGAGTATTAATTGATTGTTGATTTTTGGAGAGAGCATTTTTAATCATCAAGTTGCTTTCAAAAGAATTCAACTTAAATAGCTTTTTGACGTTTCTAGTCTGCTGACTAATTGGTTTTATCAACCCATGCCACTGAACCCTACATTGGTTGGTAATAATGTCACTCAATTATTATTATTTAGTTACTTTTTGATAAAGTTATCACCACATGAAACATGCTTCTTGTTACTTGTTATCCATTCACATGATCTAATTTGATGGCTAGTTGTTTTAGTAACAAGTAACAACCTC